GAAAAGGACATGCTTTGTGAGTGGATCATGCACTGTCTGGCAACAACAGGCCAGGAGATTTTGATGTTCATAGATGCCACTGTCATGCCAGGCATGGGAGTTCATTAGACAGGTGGACCAGAATCACAGACGCAGATCCAAATGTCCAGGAGCCAGAACAGAATATGGGAAATGATGACACTTACAAGGAAGAGATAGAAAATGTTAATTCTCATCATGTGACCTAGTAGGAGGAAAGGCTAGGTATGGAGAGGAGGTCATGTATTGTGTTGTGATCAAGAGCTTGGGACTTGGAGTCAGAGGACAGTGAATTCCTAGCTCAGCTCAGGCACATATTAAGTGCGTGAACTTATGTACGGCACTTAACCACTCCCTGCTTGAGTTTCTCCACATTGTATGTTGTAGGCAGTGGTAGCAACCGCACAAGACTGTTGTAAGGAATAAATGAGAAATTGATATAAAGCTTTCAGAGGGCACAACCTATAGGGATTTATTAAAGTTTATGGTTGTTCATTTTGATTACACGGACTATGAAAGTGGAAAGAGTGGCGAAAGTTCTAGCTCAAGGGCTATATGATCTCTGCAAATTAGGAGAACGCCATTTGATGGGCTACTGGAAAGGGGTGAAGCTTGGGAGAGAGGTGTTATGAGGAAGAATGGAAAGCGACTAGAAACACACAAAAAAGTTTGCTAAGTGTTGATGACATTGGTCTTGGTAATGATTTCATGGATATGTTAAGTGTCCTTATCACAGGGTTTTTTTTGTTTTTTGTTTTTTTCCCCCTAAGCAGAGTTAAAAACCCAGCTGAAGAAAGTGGCCATTATTTGTAATGTTACTACTCTGAGTAGTCAAAAGTTATTTCTCCAGAATTAGGGGATATGAGGAAAATGGTAGAAGAAGGAAAAGTGGATGAAAGTGTGGAGTGGATCATCACATGGGGGAGAGCAAGAGAGTGAGAGATGGGGGAATATTGAAGTGGCTGCTGAGTTGGGGACATAGGCCTGTTCATGGAAGGAAGTGAAACCAGGAAGGGCCTGGAGGGGTACACAAAAGGTCTGGTGATTCCAATCACATCAAAAGCCAACATTACAGGGTAGAAGTAATGAAAACTCAGAACATGGGATTTGTTAGATGAAAAGCAGAATGAAGATTGCTGAAATGGAGAGGAGATGAAGCCATGGGTTCACAAAGAATGCATGAGTCAAGGGCAGGGTCATGGGAGGTGACTGAATGATGGGCAGAGTTCAGATTGAGAAAAATCCAAGCCAGGACCAAAGCCATGGGATTTAATGTATGATGCTGATGAGAAGAGTGTGGCAGAGCTGGATGGTGAGAACTCTGGGAAAGCTTAGATTGCTTTTTCCCATAGAGAGAAAGTCTATTGAAAATTATATAGAGTCTGAGGCTGGTATGGGATTCTGAAAGGAAGAGTGAGTATCTTCCTTACCTCTGGAGTCCCAGTGCCCAACACAGTGGCTAACACTTGATGTAAAATAAGTGTGCAGTTAATGTCTATTGAATGATTCTGTGAAATACGGGGTTCAATCCACATGAGTCCATTAAACTGTTTTTCACTTTTCCATATCGAAGCAAAGACAGCTTAAGAATTAAACCAAATATAAATCGCAATTGTTGTAACATGGGGAATTTTTAGATGCCCAAACCCCCTTCCAAAGCACAAAAGCTAGTTGCATTTTGGTATTTTTCCTTCATTTATGAATTCAGCAAATATTCATTGAACAACAACTCTGTGCCAGGCCCTGTTCCATACATTGGGAAAGACAGTGGAGGAAAAGGCAAACCAGGCCCCAGCTCAGGGAGCTTAATTTTAGTGGGAGAAAAACAGACAGCATATAAAAATATAAATGTTAATTTCAGTTAGGAAGAAGGCTGCATTGAAATTAAAACAAGTAGTGAGATAGAGAGTAAGCTGGAAGACAGCTCTCTTTTATATAAGACAGTCAGAGAAGACCTCTGACAAGGTGACATTTATCCGGGACCTGATGGGTAAGAAGGAGTCAACCACGTGAAGATTGGGAGGTTTTCCAGGTAAACAGGTGGTGTAAAGACCCAATGGGAAGATCGAGTTAAACAGAGAAGGACAGAAACAAGACCAATATCTCTGCACTAGGATCTAATAAGAAAGTCATATCTTTTCCCAAAATGTTACATGGTTAAACATGAACGTGAGAGCAGTGAATGTTCAATTTTCAAGGACTGCACAGTGGTTAGGAGCAGACTCTGGAGTGACACTGCCCTCATTTAATCCGGGCTCCTCCTTTTCTACCTGTGTTACCTTGGGAAAGTATACCTAAATATTCTAGCATATCATTACCTGTAACGGGGTGATAATAATAGTACCTACCTATGAAAAAATTAAGTGAATTGATAGTCGTAAAACAGAAAAGTGTTTGGCATATTAAAAGTGCTTCTTCTATAAAATAATTCCATCTTTTTTTTTCCCACAGCCTGCATTATATGGGAAAGATAATCTCTTTTGTTACATACTCTTAATGATTATTTCTGTTGATTCTAAGTATCCCATAATCTAATTAACTGTAGAAGAAGCAGGTTGTTTTAATTTTTCTGCATCATAAATCACTCGACAATGAACATCGTTATCATGCTTTGAGGTCTTCCACAATAGTCATCACCTGGGTGGCAGAGTACAAGTGAACCCATAAAAATATTTCACTGGCTGAAGCATCTGTAAAAGGCATCCTCATCTTGATTGACTTCTCATGAGATTCCTACCAGATAACAGAGAAAAGATATGCTCTCCATGGCTGTCCTGACTGCTGAATTTATCCTGAAGGGAAGTTATGCTTGGCTTATACAATGTTTCCCGTCCCAAGAAAATTTTATTTAGTTGCCAAGCGGAAAAAAAAAAAACACAAACCTCACAATTTACTGTAAATCCCCCATATTTCTGACCTTTCTGAAGAAATAGTCTATTTCTATTAAACTGATAGAATTGGACATACTGGCTATGAGGCAACAATTGTGAACAAATTTCTTATAGCAACTTTGCCATTCTTCCATAATTTCATGTTTTATTTTTTTTTTAAAAAGATTTATTTATTTATTTGAGAGAGAGGGCAGGAGTGGGGGGGGCAGAGGGAGAGAGAGAATCCCCAATAGACTCTCCACCGAGTGAGGAGCCCGACGTGGTGTTCAATCCCATGACCCCAAGGTCATGACCTGAGCCAAAATCAAGAGTCAGTTCACCTAACTGACTGAGCCACCAGGAGCCCCCATAATTTCATGTTTTAAAGTAAAGTTCATACTGTTAAAATATTGTCTAAAATATTATATGCCTCTTATACTAAAAGTTTAAACTAGTCTATGGAAAAATTGTTTGAGAAAAATACTCAATTTATAGAGAAAACTAGAGTAGCTCAGAATATCTGAAAATAGTTGGAGTTTTTGAAATATGACATTACTTCCTTGAAAATAAAGAAATTTCCCAAACAAGTGAGCTTTTGTTTAATGTGCTGAGTTATAGAAATTTAAAGTTATATAAATATGATACACTTGAATAAAATTAAAATATGAAGAATTGGGGTGCCTGGGTGGCTCAGTCAGTTAAGCATCTGCCTTTGGCTCAGGTCATGATCCCAGGATCCTGCGATTGAGCCCAGTGTAGGGCTCCCTGCTCATCAGGTAGCCTGCTTTTCCCTCTCCCTGCTTGTGCTCTCTCTCAAATAAATAAATACAAATCTTTAAAAAAATAAAATAAAATATGAAGAAATAAATATAGATAATATCCCCATTAATTATTATGAATTACTGAAGTTTTTAAATAACATCCACATTGTTTCATGCAAAAAGGAAGCCCATGCTATAATCTATCTGGTCTAAATTAAATTCATTAAATACAAATATACACATACTCACATGTATTGTCTTAAAAGTCTGAAAAATGAACTTCCAAAAGGTGCACAGTTGGCACCTAATAAACATTTATTAAATTTGGGGTTTTCTTCCAGTTTATGGAGATATAAATGACAACACTGTGTAAGTTTAAGGTGTACTGAGTGATGACGTGATATATGTAAATATTGTGAAGTGATTACCATGTTAATATTAGTTTACACATCTACTACATCACATAGTTACCTTTGTGTGTGTGTGTGTGTGTGTGTGTGTGGTGAGAATGTTTAAAATCTACTCTCCTAGCAACTTTCAATTATACAGTAGTATTAACTATCGTTACCATGCTGTGCAATTGATTCAAAGAACTTATTCATCTTCTAACTAAAAGTCTGTACCTTCTTTTTTTAAAGAATTTATTTATTTTGAGAGAGAGAGAAAGCACGAGCGGGAGGAAGGGCAGAGGCAGAAGGATAGAGAGAATCTCAAGCGGACTCCACGCTGAGTGCGGAGTCTGACCTGGGGCTCGATCCCACAACCATGTGATCACAACCTGAGCTGAAACCAAAAGTCGAGTGCTTAACTGACTGAGCCAGCCAGGCACCCCCTAAAAGTTTGTACCTTTAACCGACATCTCCCTATTTCCCCAGCCCCTGGTAACCGCTCTCTGTTTCTAGGAGTTTGACTTTTTTAGATTCCATATGTAAGTGAGATCATGCAGTATTTGTCTTCTTCTGTTTGACTGACTTCACTTAGCATAATACCCTTAAGGTTCATCCATATTGTCACAGATAGCAGGATTTCCTTCTTTTTTATGGCTGAATAATTTTTCCATGTGGATCGATATTTATATCTATATATTTGTATCTACATGTCATTTTCCTTATCCATTCTTCTGTCAACAGACACTTAGGTTGTTGCCACGTCTTGGCTATTGTAAATAATGCCACAATGATCATGAGGGTGCAGATAGCTCTTTGAAACTGAAAAAAAAAGTAAAAAAAAAGAAAAAGAAAGGGTTTATACTATAAATATGTAAAGTTGCTAACTCAATAAACTTTTATTTTTCCTGACATGCATCACCAATGATGTATGCTTTTTATTCTTATTTCAATTTTGTTTACAGAAAACTGGGCACAAACCAGAAAGTGTGGATTTGTGTGGAGCACATATTGAATGGGCCAAGGAAAAATCAAGCCGAAAGAATGTCTTTCAGGTAAGAATGTTACGTATATTAAATTTATTCCTATTCTTCTAAATGTGAGCTCTCAACATATACTTCCTTGTTGTGATGTTTTCATGTGCATGAACTAGTTGTTCGAAGGTCACTGTGAAAAACTGATTTCGCCTCCTTGTTGAATTTTAGTTTGTTTTGTGGCTTTTCCTTGGTTACTGGTTGCTATCTAAATAGGAAATATATGTTGTGTCTTGACTAATTCTACACTCAAAGTCATTGAGTGTGCATTGTATTTGATAGCTGTTTGGGGTTCAAACCTAGAGTGTTTGACTTAAATAGATTTATTGTGGAACTTTCAGATATAAACTTTTTGCATTCATTTCCATTTCTGCCCCTAGTCCTACATTACATTTACCAGTGTAACTTAGGGGGATGGAAAGAGCTGAAAAGCTATAGAAATTGGATATTTTTGTATTGCATAATTTAATTTTTGGGAAAAAATAACTATGATTAATAATTTCAATCATGTTCCATTGAATGAAAAGAACCAGATGAGATCCTTGAGAGAAAGGAAATGAGAAAACTGAATATTTCATATATGATGTTACTAAGATCCCTTTGGCAATTAATAACTTTAAATTATGGAGGTTTATCTTTTTCTATCTTTACGTGAGATTTAACTTACTTTTATATTTCCAAAGTAACCAATAATTTTCTAGGTATATTTTAGGATTTATATAATTTAGTAGCCAGGAACTAGATTATTATAATTACTATATTAAATGCCTCCTAAGACCATTTTGGCTCTTGAAAAAAGGTCAATTCCATTCTTAAATGCATCAGTAAAATTAATATATTGAGTCTTACAGAAGTGTAGATAGGTGACATTTCCTATCTGAGCTCTCCCTGGGGAGAAAAGAACTGGTCTCCAGTTCTGCATTTCCCAGATGCTAATCCAGGTCTACCAAATAAACCGGACCCATGTTAACATTTCTAGAATAACTTATTTTTCTGGTCCTGCTTTTATTCTATTCAGGCATTCATTTTTTATATGCTGGAGATTTATTTCTTTTTACCAAAAGAGAGAAAGAAAGAAGAAAAAAATAAAGAAAATTAAACATACTTTCCTAGAAATCAAAGGACTAAATATAGCCAAAAGTGATTAGAATCTGAATTTACAGAATCAAGAAAAGAAAAATAAATTTTGTTTTGAAGAGAGGAATTGTAAATCAGTGACATAGCCTGCCTCCAAATTTCTTACTCTTTTTTGTTATTCTACAATAAATAAAAAAAAAATTAGAGGTCATATTCCTAGCTTTTATTATAACCTGGATGATGAGTATGAATAGTTCTGAACTAGGTTGGGTGAGTTAAGTGGGGTTGTTATATTATGTATTATGAGTTTAGCATCCTTGTCCCCATGTCATAAAATAAAGACATTAAAATTTGACATTCACGTAATTCTTGGACAATAGAAACTCTTGGAGTTGGTCTAAGGTAGCCTTTTTCTGTTCCCTCTGTTAGTCTTTTGAAAAGTTAAGTTAGATAAAAGATGAGGATGGTGAAATATATACAATGTATATAGGACTGCAATATGGAAGAAGAATATTTATGCATAATTTTACATAGCTTTGAACATAATATACATCGATTTATATTTAAGCCACCTGCATTGATGATATGTATGATAATATATATTAATGATATGAGATTGATCTTTCCTTGTATGACTGACTGCCTCCTGCTATAATTTTTCCTTGCTTTTTATATTTCTGAATATAGGTACTTCCAAAGATATTAAAAAAAAAACTATTCTCACTTTTGGTAGCTTTTTGGAGTAGCTTTGCCAGCTACTTTTGTTTGTAAGGTACGTAAGTAGTTTATGGGACACAGTGTTCTTATATCCAGCTTAACTCTTTTTGTCTTGTATCCTTGTAGTTTAGAGAAACAGGAAAGAAGTGATTATAAGGATGCTGTGAATAACAAAGCTAAAGAAAGATTCCAATTTCATTTCCTACTTCATTCTTTTTGGGGTGAATCATGTGATTTTCTTGTCATGCTGACATCTTTTCATTACCCAAACACATGAACTTAGGTAAAATTTACTAATACGTTTCCATAGATACGGACTACAAGGGTAAACCCTTTGAGAGGAACAATATAAATAGCTTTTATAGTTCTGTTAACAAAAAAGCATAGGAAAGGATTTGCCAGAGAGCTAAATCTAGATGACTTGCATCAATATTTGATTAGATACATTAGCTGGTCTAACTCTCAAATGATCAGAATAAACATGATTATGTCTCAAAAACATGGTATTAAGGCATTGTTGGGTGTTTGAGTGTGTGTGTGTACAAGGGTTTCATTACCTACAGAATAATGAAGTGTTTCTTCCTGACTGAAAAAGACCATCATAGCTTCAGCTGATGTGCTACATCAGAAATAGCTTTAAAATTCCAAGTTTGAATTAGGCTTGGTGTTCAATCTCAGTCTATGAATTATAGATTACAGATAGTAAATGACTATTGAGATTTTTGGTTCAAGAAAAATCAAAGAAGAGCAAAATTAGAAATAATTTAAAATTTGAAATCTGTCTTTAAAAAGTTGATGGATTAGCAATTATATGCCACATAATTACAATGTCTGTAGAGAAGCCGAACTTAACATGAATAGGAAAACAAATAAAAATTATGCGCCTGGAAGACTCAAAAGCACACATCTGTGACACACAAAAATGGAAGGATTTCATTTGTCTCGTTCATTTATATATGCCATTGGGACATTTAAGGTGTTCATTTTCTTTTTGTATTAAAAGCCAAATTTCCTTCATAGTCAAAGCCTTACTAAACTCTTGATGTAGATTCAATCTTACTTGATTGGTATGTGGTAACATAACAGTGACAATATTAATTAAGTTTTAAGGTTTGGTATTCAACAACTCTCAGTAAGTCAGAATGATGCTCACTGACTGAGTTCAAGAACATCTGCCTGTTTTTTTTTTTTTTAAGGTTTTATTTATTTGACAGAGAGAGATAGCAAGAGCAGGAACACAAGCAGGGGGAATGGGAGAGGGAGAAGCAGGCTTCCCGCGAAGCGGGGAGCCCGATGTGGGACTCGATCCCAGGACCCTGGGATCATGACTTGAGCCGAAGGCAGATGCTCAACGACTGAGCCACCCAGGCACCCTGCCTGTTTTATAACAGAAAACTCTTTGGCCTAATTGGTACTTCTTAATAATAAATGGTTTATTTTTTTTAAATCATTAGGAGCTTCTATAATAAAGTACGTATAGACAAATCCTAGTATGTGTTTCAAATGTATGATTGTGATATAATGTATGTGTGTCCATGTATGTACCTGCATCTAATAGCTTGCCTTAGGAAATAGAATGACCATTTCCGTACGCGTACACACAAACCCAGAAAGGCATGTTGTACTTACAAAAGGTCACGCAAATTCTAAGTTATATCAGTAAATGTTCATTGCTGCTAACCTTCATTTAATTCCGCATTTAGCATAATTGTCAAGGACCATCACAAGTTTGATGTAGCTCGAGAAAGCATTTAGCAACCGAGTGATTTGTAATGAACTCTGGTACAAGTTTTCTTAGTTAACTTAAGAGCAAAGCGAGGTCTTCATCAGGGAAAGAGTGAATAAAAAGATTTATGTTCAAATCACACGTTTTAAACATTCCTGCTAAGTGCTAGTTTGCTCTTTGGTGTTTAGCCTGAAATTTAAAGCACTGAGGATTAAAAGGATTACAACATAATCTTAAATAATCCTAACTGTCATTTACAGAGAGATAGTTGTAATAACTAAATAAAACCCTGTTACAGGATGGCAGTATTTCAGGCGGTAGCTGTGACACACGGGGTTCTCTGTCCCCTTCTCTTTCGCCGTGGATACAGCTGCACTTACAAAGCTTTTCAGGGGGAAGTTCAACTGAGCAAATGGCTACAAGGGGATTTAAAACAATAAGTAATTTTTTTTAACCATTAATATCTTCCTGTTTCCAAGTGGAAGGAACTTTTTCACTCAGGTTTCCTTCCTTCAAACAAAAGGCTCTCTCCGAGTTAATATTTTTGAAAGTCAGGGGAAGGGAGTTCACGATGTGTCTATCACGTCCAAAGATGCTCTGTGTCAAAAACATTGACCACATCCAAGGAGATACCCCCTTTTAAATAGAAGATGGTCCAGGCTGTTTAGCTTAGCACGTGCACATTCTTTACTCTTGTGTAAGTGAGCTTTTCTCCTCACAGAGAACAACAAGAAAGAGACTATACGGCATACTGCTTTGTACTTACTACACCAGAGGACTGGACTCCTTTCAACTCATTCAGTTGTTACTGTTAAGGTTAGATTGGCATTCTGTTAGCTAAAAAAAAGAATTCACTGTCAGAAAAAAATCTTAAGATATTGTGTCCACAATATAGGCTCTGTCCTCCAAGATGAATTCCTGAGTGTCCACTCTACTCACTTTTGTAAATAGGGGTAAAGAATAAGAAACATCCTATCTGTTTCCTTGGTCCTTTTCATTACAACCTATATGACTGTAGAGGATTATTTATCTAAGATAATGAAATCATTTATACTCTAAAGGTTTTCTGTTTCTCACAGCAAGACAGTGAGTAGGCCTCAGTGTTCCTGAGTTTCCTTTCAAATAAAACTTAAAAATTTACCCATGAACACGCAGCAGACTCATTTATAGATTATGTGCCTTAAACAAGATAATTCTACTATTAATGAATTATGGCTGATTAGAACTATATCATTTACCTGCTTGAAAGACAGGGGGAAAAAGGCAGTTAAATGACTCAACACGATGAAAGTCCGTTTTCATTCCCTGGCACCAATTTATAACCTCGACAAAAATCATGACTGAATTTCCTGGATTTGAGATTCCTTTTTTAGTATCTAAATACATCTCAGGGGAACAGGTTCTGTCCCTAAAAGTAAAGTGAATCTCAGAATAGATTTATCATTACTTGTATTATCTTTCTTCAGTTGGGGGTCTTCTGGCTATAATGTATATTAAACAT